AAGATTTATTTATTTATGCACACAGAACTAGGGTACAGGACAGAGGTGCAGGGGCGGTGAGAGGCTTCACCAGAGGCAGAGTGGAGAGCAGAACAGGCAGATCAGCGAGGTAGCTAGTGAGGGGAACAGCGGGCAGGTCAGGAGAGGTCTGCCACGCCATGTGGTCACTTCCCAGGGCTGGATGGAACTCATGCTGAAGTGGCTTCAACTTCTTAGTGCTGTGTTTTAACCTCCTGTGTCACCATGGAAGGCCTAGTTAAGTTTTATTTTAAGGAAATTACTGGACAAGTTTGCAAGCACATTCATTAAAAATGTGTTCTCACAACATTTTCAAATATATGAAACATTGGAAGCAATCTAAATATTCAACCTATAAGATCATTATTACTGTATCTATATAGTGTAATATCCTTAACAATTAAAATTGTGATTCAAAAATACATTTACTGACATAAAGGACATAAGATTTTGGTCCTTCTGGTGGCGCAATGGGTTAAAATGCAGCATTGTGAGGCTGTCCACAGCCGCTGTGAGGTCTATAACCAAACACAGGAGCTGACCTACAAGGCTCGGCAGACTTCTCCTGTCCCACCCGCTGCTCCCTCAGCAGTGTATTTCAGTCAGTCCAACTGTTCTGCTACCCACTCTGTCTCTGGTGAGTTCTCTCACCCCCTGCACTTCCGGCCTGTACCCCAGTTCTAGTATGTGTAAATGATAAGTCATTAAAAAATAAATTTAGGCCCTCCCTGGTGGCGCAGCGGGTTAAAGCACTGCACTGAGAAGCTAAAGCCAATTCCACATGAGTTCGATTCCCGCCTGCCCCGGATGTGACCACATGGTGTGGCAGACCTCTCCTGACCCGCCCGCTGCTCCCCTCAGCAGTGTACTTCGTCGATCTGCCTGTTCTGCTCCCCACTCTGTCTCTGGTGAAGCCTCTCACTGCCCCGAGCCTCTGGCCTGTACCCCAGTTCTGTATGCATAAATAAATAAATCTTTAAAAAAATAAATAAATAAATAAATTTTAAAAAGACATAAGATTTAATAGGAATATCAATATTGTAGCAATACATGTTTATGTTTTACATTTCATACTGACAGGATTCAAGGGAAATTAAACTTTTTGCCTTTTTTTAACTAGTGGTTGCTAGTATTTTCCCATCTATCATGTTTTATTTGCACATTTTTTAAATAGTAGAAAAAATTAAACCCTTCAAATAAAGAAATCAAGTATCAGTGCATTCTTTCCCTTGGATGATGATGATGAAATCACCAGCAGACTTGTTTTCCAATTCTTCCTTTCCTGCAATCAGTCATTCACTCTTTCAGCAACTATTTATTAATTGCCTAAGAGTGAGGCCTTAGCTGAGGAGACTCCCACATCTCCAGCACACTTACAGCTCATGCAACACACATTTCAATAACTTTTTATCCCTTTCTCCCACTCCAAAATTATGAGGCACTTTTTTTGCTTATTTCACTTTCAGGTAACTACATGTGCCTTGACTTGCAGAGCTGCATTTTAATATTCAATGAGTTGTTGCTATAATATAGACTAAAATTGATACATACTAAAATTAACTTGAGTTCTGAGTTTTATCACAATTGCTTTTGGGGGTGGGTTGAGGAGAGACGGCAGTGCCTGTTACTCTATTTTGAGTGCCTAGAATGGAAATTAACATAGAATAAGTTCTCTGTAAACATCTGTTGAACCAATCAAATCTGGGTTTTAGTGTTTTAGAAAACACCCAACCCTTCTAAAAGATGATCTTTTTTTCACCCAACCCTTCTAAAAGATGATCTTTTTTTCATCATTGCTGAAGAAACAGTGGTTCTTGCTTATAAGGATTTTGTTTTGTTTTGTTTGTTTTAAATATTGCATAAGACTCTCGAAGCAGACACATGAAATCAAAGTAAAATGTTTATTTGCTGGTATGTAATGTTCCACTCTGGCCTGAAGAGGGCAGGCATGCATGCCTTCAGGAGAGAGCATCCTGGAAAACAAGGTGATTTCTTCTCTTTTGATTTCCTAGGTCTAAAGTGGCCAGGCAGGCAAGTGCCCTGGGTTCTTCCATCGGAACAGCTGTTGTTGGAGGGCTAATCACAGGTTAGGAGTAAAAGCAAATATTCCCCTGTGCCTTATGTTTTCAATATACTAAATGATTAACTAACCTATCAGTAAATTTGAAAGATATCTAAATATCTGGCAAAAAGGTAGCCAAGTAAACTCAAGAGAATGATTATTTATCAATCGTATTTTAATTACTTTGCTAGGAGATTTTTCCTATTCAATCTTATAACTTGACATTTTTCCCCACTTTCACAGGTTTAATTCTAAAGATACCCATCTGGGGGCAGCCATCTGACCAGGCCTGCTACGATGATTCTGTTTATTGGGAGGTATGGTACCATGTTCTCAGTAAGGATATGGATGCTTGTGTTAGGGGGCTAAAGCTTTGCTCATGTCCAGCCTGGATGTCTGCGTGGCATCAGTGTCATGAAATTGGATGCACCCCTATATAGAGAGAGCTATTAAGACAATGTGTCCACACAGAATTAGAAACGGAAAACAGAAACTAGAGGAAGAAAAGACTTAGTTGACAAGTGCCCTTTTACTCCTCTGAAAACAAAATGAGCTACTCATAAAAATACTGGGTGTGAGATGTTAAACCATCCATATAAGTAGGCCAAATACGTGGAACATGGAACTTTGAAGAATCTGTGAGTACCTACAAATGGTTCTGTGAATAACAAAGCAGCAGTCTCTTTCTCCAGCTCATACCTCTTCATCTATTGAAAATTTCTCCCAAATTATTACCTGCAAAATCTTAAAAGTGAGAAGTGCCTGAGTTGTGCAATGGGACTTTCAGGGAGAACAGGTTTGGGAAGGAGAGAATGTAGTGAAGATGAGAGGAATGAGGTTTTTGTTCTTTTATTTTTCTCCAAATCAGGCCATTTTTGTTTAATTCTTACAAAGCTTTGATAATAATTCTAAAAGTATCTTTGTTTCACTACTAGCCTCCAACAGCCCAGTGTAAAGGATCCATAAACAGCCCTTATCTTGATCTCTTTAAAGGTCCCCGTGTACAGAGAACATGACAGTGACCTCCTTTAACACCACAATCACAAACAGCTGGAACCTGCCATCTGAACACCACTCCTGGGCCTCTTCTTCATCCCCATTATCTAGAATCAAGCTTAAGCAGACAAATATATATATATATATATATCAGCATCCAAACAGAATAGGGCCCAGACAAGATCCATCCTGTTCCCATAATACCTGGTGTAGCATCATCCTTCTCTGACTCTTGACCTCATTCAGTGATTGTTCAAATGAAGGACTGTGACTTACCAAACATGGTCAAATAGATTCTGTGGGTAGGTACACAGGGCATATTTCTCCTAAAGGCAGTTTTACAAAGAAATGGACATATTCTAATCATGTCAGTTTCTTAATATGGATACTGCATAAAAGATAATAAACAGAAGCTAATGAAATAGCAATCTAAGAAATCTGTATAAGTAAAAAGCAAGAAATGTATGTATATAAAGCAATAATGTGCATGTTTTTGTTGTTTTTTTTTTTTACTTTAAAAGTGGATATAGTTAGTAATTTGCTTAAATATTCTAATGTTGAATTCCTTTTGCATGTTTACTATTTGCAATCAGACTTGAATGCTATCTGACCAAAGTCGATTTTGTATAAAATTTCAGTGGATTAAATATCATTATAAAATAAAGCATTAGTTGGTTGCTCTCCTTTCTTTGATGGTTGGGATTCATGTTAGTAACAAGCACACACACACACACATCCACACATTCGCCACATTTAGGTTGTACTCAATCCAGATAAACTGTCACAATACATATATGTATGATAAAAAGATCAAGTAAATTTTTTTACTTTATAGGATAAGTTTGAAAGAACAGAGCTTTAGAAAAGGGAACTAACATAATGGTATAAAATTCACATAGTTGTATTCAAATAAGTTTTCCTCTCTGAAGTTTTTTTCTAATCCAAGAATCCTTAAATATTGCTAGGGTGTGCACATCAGCCCTGCCACAATTAATAACACTTCAGATCCTGAAGGCTTGCAATTAAAAATTACAAGTGACAGAAAATCACCTACTATGTCTTTATATAATCATATAATAAAATAGCATAAATAGGTCCTAAATACTTTACCAATTAGATGAATGCTTTCAAATGCACATAAACATAGAATCCATTTTTTATCATCATAAAGAGGCATCTTCCCTACCTGTCCTGAGACTTCCTTATTGCCTGCTGATGTATGAGGTTGGTGTATGGAGAGTGTTGAGTACTCTCAGATGTAAAAGAAAACCTTTAATTGTGTTGAGTTCAGGAACTGGTTTGCAATAGCCTGCAACACCTGGCTTATGAGCACTCTACTGCCTTCCTGCAACACATTTCCTTGAAAGCATAGTCTTTCTTTTTCATTCTGTGTTAACAGTCTTTTCTTCACAATAATATATGTCTCCTTTTAAAAATCTAGCTTTTCTAGAATTTAATGAGGCATTTCAATCTGAAGATTTGATTCTTCTGCTCAAATAAACTTCAGTCTATATTTAAGAACTTTTCTTCTTTTTCTTTTATGCTTCTGTTATTCACATGGAAAATCTGCTGACAGATACAATGCTAGTTTACTCTTCCCAACTTTATTTCATTGTGGGGTGGGGGGAGATTTTTCCAAATTATGCTTACTAAAGTTTACAACTTTGTAACTGCTCTGGGGGTTATAGGTGCAAGGCTGTACAGCAGAGATCCTCTCTGATCTTTCAATTTATGATTTGTTTACAAGTTATGTTTCATTTTTGTATGTCTAGCAAAGCTCTGTGTGTGTGTGCTATAATATTGCTTTTATTATTTTGCTTATTGGGGAGCAGAGTGCTATTTTTAAGTTCAAATTCAAAGTTTAACAAACTCTGTCAACATTTAAGTGAACATTATACCTTTCCATCATCAAAAACATTTAAGATGTCAAATAATATATGTATATACACACATATATAATATATAACAATGAATATATAAATTGGATTTTTTAAAGTTGTATTATTTAGATTATCAATTTCAGGGAGTTTTTGTTCTGACCTAAATCTAAAAGACAGGCCTATAATTAACCACAATTATGTACTATTTGCTGAAAACCAAGCTACTTTATAAGAGAGTTCTGCAGATCTGGAGCAGGAGCTGGGGATGAGGCAGAGGCTGGGGGGAGGGAGATGCACATAGTTCTCCAACAGCTCTGTTTGGGTAGAAACCACTTGTTTTGTGTGTTTTCTCAATTCTCTTCACTCTGGAAGGTGTGTTGTCTATTACTAAGTTCCAGCTGCTGAAGTACTTTGGTGTTCTGCAACCATCCCTGACCAGGAAGGTTCATCATCAGTTCAGGTAGATTGAAAGAGAACCTTGTAGTGCCTGGCATCATCCTCACAGGTTAGGGGAAACAAGCCATCAGGGAGACAGCAACTTGGGCCCCCTGAAAGTCCTGTACGCTCTTTCCTCTCTTAGTGTTCTCTAACGCTCTTCATTGTCCTCCACAAGCCCCTCTGCCACCACTCCCTGGCCTCTGTCACCCATTTATAGGCTCAGCCTCTCTGCTCAGGTGCGCCACTCATGCAGGCCCCACACCACACTCCAGGTGGTGTCGCCATCAGGCATGCATGGAAGCCCACAGGTGTCCATCATTGATGCTAGTGGCAGGAAGGCAGAAAAAAAAAAAAAAAACCTGATCACTGCCATTTACCCTACAGGAAGGCAATAATCTTTTACTTGCTAAACTTTGTGTAGATTGTTGCCACATCTTGACTATTGTGAATAATATTATAATAAATGTGAAAGTGCAGATATCACTTGAAGATAATGGTTTTAATTCCTCATGTATATACCTATACATATGTGTGTGTGTTTACACACATATAGATAGAGATGGCTGGATGCCCAAAAGTGGTATTGCTACATCATATGGCAGTTCTACTTTTAATATTTTGGGAAGCATCCCTACTTTTTCCTACGGTGGTGGAATTAATTTATATTACCTTACTAGTTTACAGAGATTCTTTTTCTACAAATCCTCACCAAAATTTATCTTTTCTTCTTCTTTTTGTCAATAGCCATTTTAACAGCTGTGAATTGATATTTCATTGTGGTTTTGATTTTCATTGCCCTGATGACTAGCAATGCTGGACATCTTGTATTTGTTGGCCATTTGAATGCTACCTGTGGAAAAAAACATCTATTCAGTTTCTAGGTTCATTTTTTTTTTTTTTAGAGATTTATTGATTTATGCATACCAGAGCTGGAGTACAGGCCAGAGACGCAGGGGCAGGGAGAAGATTCATCAGAGACAGAGTTGGGAGAAGAAAAGGCAGACTGACAAAGTACACTGCTGAGGGGAGCAGTGGGCAGGCAGGAGAGGTCTGCCATACCATGTGGGTCAGCTCCCTGGCCTGGGATCGAACTCCTGTTTCAGTGGCTGTGGATAGCCTAATAGTGCTGTGTTCCAACTTGTTGCACCACCAGGATGGGCCAACCCTAAATTTTAATCATATTAAAGTAAATCACATTAAATAAGAATGATGTAAGAGCTCAAATTAAAGGACAAAGATAATCAGATTAAATACATAAGAACCAATTTCTATGCTGCCTTTAAGTATTGTTCTTTAAATAGAAAGATAAGAATAGATTTAAAAGTTAAAAAATGAAGAAAAATGTACTATTTTAACACTAGTCACAAGAAAACTACAAGTTATATATCAATATTGGGCCAAGTAGATATAAGATAAAGTATATCATTAAGGGAGGGGTAATTTCATATTAGTAAAATTGTTATTTAATCATGAGAACATAACAAGCCTAAATATGTATGTTCCTAAAAACACAACTTCAAAGCATGAAGAAAAAAGTGGATAGAACTATAAGAAGAAATAGGCAAATCCATAATTATGGTCAGAAATTTCATTGTCCTTCTCTCAATAATTACTAGAAGGAAAGAGAAAATCCAACTTCCCTAATTCAAATCCCAGAAAATAGGTGAGTATATCTAGAAACACTTGTCAATCTGATTTTTTGTTGTTATCTATAGTCAATTTCCAGGTGAAAACCAGAACCAGATGTATGAATCATCATTACTGAGAACTATCACTATATCAAAGAATTTTGGAATCAGGAAAACTTGAATTTTCTTACTGACCATGTAGGTGACCTGGGCAAATTAACTACTTAAAGCCTCGGTTTCCTCTTTTACAATATTGGGATAATAATATTACCACTAGGATCTATTGCTTATTATCTAAGAATATGAAAAAATTAAATAGGAACCATTTTAATTTCTGACACATCCACATCTGTTCTGATCAGACTAACTTTTTCTCTCCTTCTACCTACTGTTTATGAAATGATCCTATTTGGTGATAGGATGATAGGACTATTGAATGTGGGTGTTATTGAAAACAAAGTCACTTTTCACCCCAAGAAATACTGCCCTTTGTTTTATGCCTGCAGCTTAATCTTTTTCAAGTGTTCAGAACTTGGCTCAAGGTTTTCATTAAAGCCTGCCAACAATCCTAAGCCATAACAAGAAAAGAAGGCAAGTAGTTGTGTACAAAACATTTAGCACCATGGCATTAAGCCTTGAATAAAGAGCATTGAAGCAAGAACAGACATGAGTCTCAATTCCCTTACCTATAAAATGTCAGAATTTGGTAACTACAGTTATTTGTTTCTCATAAATTGCATTACCTGAAAAGATTCTCCAGAAATAACATATTGTAAAGACTTAAAAAATTATTTACTTCTTCATTTATTCATTTATATATCCATTAAGTGCCAGGCACTGTTTTAGACATAAAGGATTTCACATTGTGTTGTATAAGTGTGGGAGTAGAAGTGATGTGGAAATACAAAGTCCTTGCTTTAAAAATGTTAAATTCATTGGAGAAGATAAATCATAAAAATATATGATGGCATCTAGTCTATAACTAAGGAAATGTTGTTATCAAGATATCAATGTATGTGAGCTAGTTTAATCCAAATATAAATATTTCTTTCTTGAGCAAGTCAATTGGAATGAATTATTCTTATACAGTGAACCCTGAACATTTTTTAAAAGATAAATAAGTCTAATAACATGTATATGCCATCCACATTCAGGAAGACATACAAGGGACATTGAGGGGAGGAAGAGAGAGGGTTACCAGAAAAGGAACAGTTCACAAAGGAATGACTGTTATGCAGAGTTAGAAGAACCTTAATATTCTTGGAGTGATACTATGATTTGAAGAACCACACACAGATCATGGTGTACCTTAACAGACAATACAACTGATTGTATTGTAAAAGTGTAGATTTCACATTGATAATTAAATACGCTGTATTTCTCTAGAGTTTTAAGACTAATCCCTGGTTTACATGAAAGAAAATCCTTCATTCTTTATTGTAGGGATAAGACAGATTATACTGAGAAATAAAAAGGAAGAAAGGGGAGAGGAGCTCAACTAAGACAAGCAAACACATAGGACTTAATTCAGTCTAATTATAAATTAGACAGTGGACTGTAGGTTAAAGCAAGATTATTAACAATGCCTTCATGGTTTTGATTTATATTTGAGGCTGCTAATTCTGTCTGGTTGTAATCAAATGTTTCTATTGCTTTACTAATTACTTCAACAAATGATAATGAGGGGATTCGATTATTCTGTCTTCCTTTTAACTCTGAGCCTGATTCTTATTTTAATTTTAAATATTAAATTCTTCATGACTAAAGCTTTCAAGTACCACTTTCCTCCAGGACCAAGACCTTTGCCAATCATTGGAAATCTGCACATCCTCAATCTGAAGAGGCCATATCAAACCATGCTAGAGGTAAAAAAAAAAAAAATTGTTCATTTCATGCATATTTATTATTAACTCCCTAAATTATTCTTACCTTCATGGGCTAATTAGCATGCATGTATTTAATTATGTAACTAGATAGGATTTAAAATTAATAGAGCTGCTTTAATCTAAAAGTTTCTTTTAACTTTGTATCTTGATAACTATGTACATTAAATATAATGATTCATATATAATTATATATACATATATATATATTTCTATTAGTTAAAGTGGAGTTTTTAATCCTGAAATATTTATGACCTATTACCTTTACCTCTACCATTTTGATCCACATATTCATTTATACCCTACTTCAAAAAAAATGATTTCAAAATTGTACAAAAGTCACTATCAAGAGTATGGCCTAACAAAGTGTGACTGAGAACTTCAGTTCTGGTCTGCCATTAATTTGCTGTGAATGTTGTTTCTACTCTTGTCTACTGTGACTATTCTGTGGGGTTGGTGTGCTTAAGGTGATGGAGTATGTGAGAAGATAGAGAAGTTGCTAATGATGCCTTCACAATAAGATATTCCAGTCAGGGCCCTCCCTGGTGGCACAGCGGGTTAAAGCACTGCACTAAGAAGCTTAAGCCACCTCTGCATGAGTTTGATCCCCACCTGCCCCGGAGGTGACCACATGGTGCGGCAGACCTCTCCTGACCTGTCCTCAGCAGTGTACTTCGTCGGTCTGCCTGTTCTGCTCCCCTCTCTGTCCCTGGTGAATCCTCTCACCCTCCACATCTCTGGCCTGTACCCCAGTTTTGTATGAATGAATAAATAAATAAATAAATCTTCAAAAAAAAAAAAAAGATATCCCAGTCAGTCTGAGCCTCACAACATCCCAGAGAGGTTCTGGATGCTGGGGATTCAAGCCCTCCCAGGAACACTCAGATGCCTAAACCAGATTCCATTACTTCTTTTTTTATGGAAACTCCACAAAGGGGGGGAAATTATACTGTTGGGTTCACCAGGGAAAGTGCCTATAAAGTAATAAGCAAAATATATATTGAAAAAAAATTGTGTAAGTTTATGTAATAACTTACCTTACCTCATCATCTGTAAAACTACAATATTTAGGTTACCTCTCCAATTTTTATTTCAAAGATTGCATTGTTCATATGTGAGAGAGGGCAAGAGTAAGAGAGGTGGAAGAGGGAGTGTGGGAGGGAAGGAAGGAAAAAACAAAGAAAGATGCCTCAGATAAATGAGTGATAAATAGATGAATGGATGGATGAATAAAAATAGAGGATGTAATATTCATAATTGGCACTTACCCCATAAAGTTCAATCTTTGAGTTTTAAAAAGCAGATAATTGAAATTGAGTATTCTTATATATCTGTAATTTTAAAATATTAAAGGAAAGAAAAGATTAATTTTACCTCAGTGAGCAGCATCATAATATCATTGTTTTTCTTTACAAAATATTGAAGGATTTCACTTAATTCTCAACCATGCTAGGAGGAAAATAGACATGATGCTTTTTTTTTTTTTTTAAGATTTATTTATTTATTCATACAGAACTGGGGTACAGGCCAGAGACCCGGAGGGTGAGAGGATTCACCAGAGACAGAGCAGGGAACAGAACAGGCAGATCGACGAAGTACACTGCTGAGGGGAGCAGCGGGCGGGTCAGGAGAGGTCTGCCATGCCATGTGGACTCCTCCGGGGCAGGCGGGAATTGAACTCATGCGGAAGTGGTTTTAAGCTTCTCAGTGCAGTGCTTTAACCCGCTGCGCCACCAGGGAGGGCCGACATGATGCTTTTAATCATAACTTTGTAGATTAAATGATTCAAGTTGGATGATATATTAGGTATTGAAAAATCAGGACTCAAGTTTTCTGATCTTTTGACTTACTTTTTCAACTCTGACCTGAACTCAAATGTCATATGATAGGTTAATTCCTCAGAAGTACAAGACTTTCTATAAAGTCCCTTGTCTAATTCCACGTCACCAAACCACATGTGTTTGTATCAACATACCTGACCTTTGCTTACTATATTAACCAGCCTTTTATCTTTGTATTTAGCATTCAGTTTTTTTACATTGCCACTGCTATGCTATTGTTCTGTGCTAATTTCACCTAGGAAATGCTTTCTTCCCTTTTCTCTCCTCCCCGTAAACGCTGTCATTTTTTCCCCTTAAAATTTACCTCTCTGACCTTTGTTATGTACCTAATACACCACATCTATTTTCTATACAATGGCTCTCACCTGAGAGACTTTCCTCACAGTCTCAAATTCCCATTTTAATTTTCATTTTCTATAATTATTAAGTATATGATTCTACTAAACTGTTCACTCTTCTACAATTCCTGTTGCAATTCTAATGTTACCTTTTAAAGTGAAGTTTTCAAAGAAAGGGACATTAGCTGTGTCCATGTCCTTCACTACCTGAATTTCAGTCAGGCTAAGACCAGTTAATCTGACCATGGTATTTCTATAACCAGCATGTGTTACCTTTTGCTGAGCATGGCCACTCACAAACTATGTGATTGCTGGAAGCTACATTATCTTGAATATAGAAGGAAATATGATGGTAAGATCTACTTCACTAGTATGAAATGTGCTTTGAAGGAAATAATATTTCTGGATGATATAGTTAAGAGGCAATAAATGTTGGTTATTGTTGTTTTTTAATTATCAAAGAAAATGCAATTTTAAAACACTGACATTATATAATGAAATGCAGCATGAAGTGTGACACAGTGACATAGAACTATCTTGGCCTATTGTGGTCATACTGCCCCACAAGGCATTGGGTCTGAGCATGGTCAGGTTGTCAGCCTGGTGCTCAAAAAGTGTTCTCCCTGGTGCCCTGTATTTTTTGTGATCAAACAAAATATAATGGTGAGCATGGGTCAATTTTGTGATGTCAGAGCACTATCTCTATGAAATCAAATACAAAGTCAAGCTTACAGGCAATCAATTAATAGTAATAATAATTATGGCTTAAATTGACATAGTAATCACTAGAGTATATTTTGTGAATGTACTAATCTTAACATTCTTACTTCATAAGATCATAAAACTGGTTTGTTGAAATTAACGAATTACCAAAGATGTAGATCCAGTTCACTTATGATAGCATGATGTTATAGTTGCTTTCCTTTTCTTGTGCACCAAAGCTCTCCCAGAAATATGGTTCCATTTACAGTATCCAGTTGGGATCAAGGAAGGTGGTAGTACTCTCTGGATATAAAACAGTGAAAGATGCCTTGGTCAACTATGGTGATCAATTTGGAGAACGACCGCAAGTGCCAATATTTGAAAAAATGTTTGAAGGAAGAGGTAATGAATTTCAATCTTAAACATAGCATGTGGCTAAAATAACTAAATGAGTTTCCCTATATTCTCTTGCACAGTTCTATTCATGCCTTAATTTTTTCTTCATTAAGATATTTTACACAAACAGGATTTACTGAGGAGGAAATATGTTATCCATGGTTTTATTTTCATTGCACATGATAATCACCTGTACTAAACAAGTAATGATTAACCAGCTTCTAGAGAAATGCCAGGGAAATAGAAAGTAAAGGAAACTGAAACCACTAGCTTAAAGAGTTCACAGTCTAGTGGCTGACATAAATCCATCAAACAATTCACTGAGCATTGTTAACACACTAAATCATATTTTCTTTTCTTTATTTTTAAATTTAAATTAGTTTATTTTGACATGAAGTACTTTATTCATTGTTAATTTATGAAGTTTATTGATTTCTCCAAACTTGGAGAAATGATCCCCAAAGATATAGTCATAGTTCTCTCACCACCAAAGCACCCATAGACTATGACCACAGTCCCTTGTGCTCTTCCCACTCCTGTTTTCCCCTCCCTTCTTAGAGGCCTCATATCAGCAGTTAACTTTCAAGGTTTGCCTTTGTCTGACCCTTTGTTTAATTTCTTTATAGTACACACATAAGCAAAAACATATGATATTTATCTTTTTCCTTCTGACTTGTTTCCCTTAGCATAATTCCTTTCCTCTCCATCCACACTCATGCAAATGGCATGAGTTTATCTTTTTTTTTTTTTTTTAATTACTGAGTAGTGGTCTATTGTAATAGACTGTTTTCTTTTCTTTTCTTTTTTTTTTTTAAAGACTTATTGATTTATTCATACAGAACTGGGGTACAGGCCAGAGATGCGGAGGGTGAGAGGATTCACCAGGGACAGGGTGGGGAGCAGAACAGGCAGATCTACGAAGTACACTGCTGAGAGGAGCAGCGGGCAGGTCAGGAGAGGTCTGCCACGCCATGTGGTCACCTCGGAGCAGACGGGAATCGAACTCATGCGGAAGTGGCTTAGGCTTCTTAGTGCAGTGCTTTAACCCGCTGCACCTCCATGGAGGGCCCTACACTACGTTTTCTTAACTAGTCATCTGTTTGGGGGCATTTAGTTTGCATCATATTTTCACCTGGATAAAATTTTATCTTGTTTATGTGAATCTTTGCTAACTGCCTTGTAAAATCTAATACTCAACGTTGGTGGCACTTTACTAAACTCTTTAAATTACCATATTAACTCTTTTACACTAACACTAAATTTCTAACTCATTAACTCAGTAATGCTTCAAAAATGGGAATTGTTTCATCTTGCCATTATTTTTAGTAAACTAATATTGATTCCTAGTAAATATCACATCACCATTTTAATTCTTCACCAAACTTTTTAGAAAGCATTTCCCATATTATTTCCCTCAAAAGACTAGCTTCATGAGATGCTGTTAGATGTTTTACATGGTAATAACAGTATCAGTGAATTGAATTTGAGAACTGTTGGATATCATAGGCCTTTCTTTAGACATCTGGGTCATCTATAAAGAATATTAAAGCCTTTGAGAAAATCAAATTAAAGTCTGTTTAATTTAATTTAATACAATTTTTTTCATACCTATTAGTTCTGATTAGAGACATTTCTTGCTCCTAGAATTCCCATTAACATTCTATGATATCAGCATTGAGAAATAAGGGTCATTCAAGTACCCTGATATGTTGTTTCCCCTTTTATTCTTTCTAGAAATTTGGGACACCTTCTTGCCTCTTGTCAGAAGCAGTTCTGCTCTTTACCATAATATCTCAAATATTGACTGATTTTATAAAATTATTTTAACTTTATTGATATCAAATCTAATTTCCTCCTGAAGTCATTCACTTTAGAAATTATTTTTAAAATAATTTAAGTGATCATAAGACTATTGTTCAAAGAGGAAAAAGACTTTCACTTTCCCAGCCTACTAATTCAAAGCCATTCAAAAAGATGTGAAGATTCTCAAAAAAAGATAAACACATGCCTTTTGCAGCAACATGGATGGAGCTGGAAGGGATCATGCTTAGTGAAATAAGCTAAACAGAAAAGGAAAAATACTGAATGGTTTCACTCATAGCAGGAGCTTAAAGGACCAGGGGAGAAAAATAATAATAATAATGAACAATTATATATCAGAGACATTTTATGGGGGTGGAGTGGGGGATGGAATCAAAAATGGGGGGGGGAGAGAGGGAAATGCACTAGACTGTAGTGATGGCACATGGGTGATTTGATGATGGGAAGCCCACAGGGATTACAACTGAGATAGAAAAAGGCACAAAATGATGTACAAATAAACTATTATATTAAATTTTAAAAAGAGAAAAGATTTTTTAAAAAATATGAGGATTCTTTAGACTAATTTAGCATAAACAAAAGAAAAAATTAATATTTTATTACCATTAGAGCATTTTGGAATAGTTTTTACTTCACCTTAATGACCTGCCCACTAGTCTATATTTTTCCTGGTCAGAAAAGACTTTTGTTTCTTATTGTTCATCAATCCCTTCAATCTCCCAACCCAGAAATCCTCCTCTCCATAAAGGTAATAAAAAATAATTTTCTTATTGAATAACTATTAATCCTAAATGTGATGCACATCACAGACAATCCTCTAAAAGACTGCAAAGAAAGTAGATACAACCCATTACAAACATATCCTCAAGATAAGTAATAATTAGTCATCAAGAGAAGTAGACAGCATTATTTATCACATATAGTTTATCTTACATTCACCTAGTAATTGGAGTCACCATTGTGTTACTTGTTTTTACATGAAGGAAAATAAACTTTTCATGCTCTTACAAAAGGTGGTAGTTTCACAACTAGGAAACCTTTGCAACTTACCAGAAAAAATGACAGACAGCGGCACTCTCTCCCTTGATATTCCAAAAGTACGTCTGTCTCTCAGGTTCCTAAGAAAGATATTCCTAGGTCCTAAGTCCTATTTAGTTTTTAAAATGATGTATACATGATTCAAAAAAAGAGGAGAAAGTACTTAAAGTTTTCTAAAGTAGATGATGTACAAGAGGAGTCTATGTCTCTTCACTTAATTTCCAACAGTGAGAATTACCTCTTTTTACTTTGACATGTACTTGCAAATTCAATCTTGAAAGTTTTAATGAAACCATTTCCTCATTATAAGGTATTGTCTTCTCTCATGGGGAAACTTGGAAAACTATGAGAAGATTCAGCTTGACCACCTTACGGAACTTTGGGATGGGCAAATCAGTCATAGAAGACACAATTATCCAGGAATGTCAGCATCTTATACAGAACTTTGAGTCTTACAAAGGTGTGTTGAGCAAATAAAAGCTATGTTTCACTTTCATGAAAAAGAAGTTAGAAAAAGGTGTTTCTGTGTAATTTTTTACTGACTTAACATTGCATTATAAGATAGTTCAGATATGCATGTTAAGTCAACATCTGTCTAACTGCATTAAGAGTTTACCACCAAATGTTAACTCTATTCTTCCCCATACAATTGACTCCTTTTATCTGCACTCTCCCTTCTAGTAACCACTAATTTTGTCATAAGATATTTTTTGTCATTGTTTTCACATTTCAGACTTGTAGGAAAATTCCAAGATATACATATAATTTCCAATACACTTGTACTCTTCTTTAAGATTCCCCGATATCAACATTTTACAGTTTCTTTTCCTGAACTGCTTCAGGGTACTTTGCAGATACACTGTCCCATTATTGTGAAGTTGAATAAGACCCTGAAAAAATCCAAAAATTTTTCTTTTTTTGTTGTTGTTTTGGCAAAAATACAGTTTCCAAAAATCTAGAAATTAACATTGATATGTTTAGAACTTATTCAGTTTTTGCTAGTGTATTACTAATATTCTAAATAGCTAAATGAATATTGAATCATGTATAGTAACCTGACTGCAACATTGAGAATAAATGAGGGAGAGAAGAATGGTAGAGAGCAAAGAGGGTGGGGGAAAGTGCAATGGATATAATGGAGAACTATTGGCACCTTGGTGGTGGATGTGTTGTGGCAACATACATTTAAAGTGGTATAAGCTTATATCTCTGAACCATATACGATGTTATAATTAATGTTATGTCAATAAAAATAAATAAATATATTGATTATTCCTGAACTAAAAATGCTTATCTACTAATACATGTTTAATAATCTATTATCAATGACCGAGTAGCATTAGACTGAAACAAAGAATTGTTCAGAATTTCCTTAAAGTAGAATTGTTTTACCTAGATATCCATTTTAAACTTTCAAGCTTGAGTGTAGCTCAAGATATTTTCCCAGATAGTATGCATTAACTATCCCATTACAGACACACACACACTCACACATACACTGACAGAAATGCCTAATCTGGTATTTTTCTGGACCCGTTCTAACCTTACCTTCTCGGAAGATGAAGTCTCCAATAATTTGTTTGTTCTATGAAATTTGCGATCATCTGTCCAAATCAGTCTATAACTGATTTAATACAGTGCATGTAACTGTTCCTAGTCTGATTAATAAATTTCTTGTAGGAAAACCCTTTGAGGTCAACACAATAATGAATGCTTCTGTTGCTAACGTCATTGTGTCTGTGTTACTTGGGAAACGATTTGACTACCAAGACACCCAGTTTCTGAGACTCTTACGTTTGATTGGTGAAAATGTGAAACTCGTAGGCACTCCTGGAATTCTGGTAAATGTATCTTTCCTACTCACTTAGCTTCTCTAACATACACTTGATTGTTCAAAAGTGAATGAAAAAGTATTTATTAAGGAATTGCCACTACAAAGATGTATGCTTTCAAGAAAATTCTGAATACAGAGATTTGACAGATCTGCTTAAAATTGTGTTATAATTTTCTCATCAAAAAATACTTCATTAAAAATAATGCAAGTATTTTGTTAATCACATCAATAAATCATTTGTCATATGACGTCAGCAAATTCTTATAAACTTAGCTGTTTATCTTTTACTGATGTGACTAATTACACGTGAAATGTTAGATAAGTAAAAACTGAAAAATGAGAAATTAGTAGAATTCACTTAGGAAAGTGAATTTTAACAACAGAGAACTATCAAGAACCTCCCCCAAAAATTAGTAAGTAAAATCTTAAAATTTATTGATCATGTAAAATTTACACAATGTCAAAATCCAATGTTTTCTTTTTCTTTATATTTGCAGGTGACAAATTGCAATCTTCTATAACAAAATAAAAGAGTCTTGTCAAATAGTTCTTATTTTCTAAGACACCACTAGCAATCAAACATATTATTTCACTTCACAAGGATTTGGACACTGATATTATAAATGCAAGTTTATTCTGAGTACAGGTGGATCAGGCAAATATAATGTCTAATTTTGGCATGACATTTTATCTCTAATATTTATTAAGTCAGTTGGAGAATTAGGAACTCCTTTGAGAATGTGAGAAAATATAAACACCTTATCTCTCAAAAACTGACTTTTAGCGAACTATGATGTCCTTCCTAAATGTTTTATGGGTCAAAGAATACTAGATTAAATGGTGTTATTCTATGGGCCTTAAAGACAGTAAGCTTATTATAAAGTTAAAATATAATTGTGTTTCTTCTACAGGAATAATTAGTGGTAAGTTTAGTGTGTTATGTGAAACTAAAATAATAGATTGATTACCAGAAATTATCTGGAGTTTTCTGAGTAACACTTAGGTTTACAGCTCTGACAATGGATTCCATATTATTTTCACATCTCATGTGAGTACATCTTCTACCAAAGAAATAAAAACAAAATGCACTGGATATTTAGATCTTATTTTAAGTCATAGCAATATTCTTGCAGTAGTATGCCTGTACCACCAGGGAAGGCCTTATAGCAGTATTATTGTAAGTTACTTAATTCTTGCAAATGAGGAGATTTCCTTTTCTAATTTAGTCTGCACAGTTAATTGAGATAAAATTCAACTCTATATCAGATATTCTTTCTATATTTTCAAAAATAATGCTTTCATTCTCATTATTCAAACACCACACCTGTATATTTAATTTACTCTGTTGTTTTTCATTCTTTCAGTTTTTTAACACATTTCCTGCATTGGGATTCTTCCTCAAAAGTCTTAAGACAGTACTCAGGAATAGAGATGAATTATTTTCTTTTGTAAGGATGACTTTCTTAGATTACCGTCATAAACTTGACAAAAATGATCCAAGAAGTTTCATTGATGCTTTTTTGGTGAGACAGCAGGAGGTAAGAGTATTTTCTTTTGGGGTTACTTTAGCTTATTTTTAATTAAATGGTGTAATTAATAGTATCTGAAAATTGTTCCTTTCAAAGGAAAAAGCTAGATTCATTTAAGTTAATAATAACATTTGTATACAACATTGATGTTGTTTATTGCATTCTCAAGTGTTTTCCACCATTTTTCAAATCAATCCCTGAAAAAAAAAAAAAAAACAAGACATATACAGGATCTCAGATATATCAGCAGCTTTTCCAATTATTATTCTTTTTTTTTCAAGATGAATCAAAATACCTGAAAAGGATTACTTAATCAGAAAAACATCCTACTTGGAATATTCTAATCAATCTATTAAGACCTAATTCCTAATTTTGCTAAATGGCCAACAACATTTCCCAGTGTTAGAATAATTTATCATGACTAGCATCTATGATGTGCTTCATTCACATTTCTCATTTAAAAAAAAAAATCCACTCCGTTGAGGGAAGAATACATTTTTCTTTTATGTTCATGCTGTTATTTATTACGATTGTCCACTATAAAATAATTTCATCACTAATGAAAAATATGCCTTCCCCCCCCC